AGTCAAATAAAGACATTCTCCATTGTTGGCTGAGGTATTGGCAGATAAATAAATAGCTGTGTCATCAGCAAAGGTGGAGAGATATTTGCCTGGAGCATTGCCATTTCAATGGCTCCTAGAAATCCCTCATAAAAATGTTTGGATACGTTTTTTCTTTGTAGGAATTTAAATACGTTATTCTCCCTGTTTATGTGCTAATAAGTCATTCAATTGTTTGACTTATATGAAGCACTGGCAGCTAGCAAAGGCTGTTAGCTTCGAAAACAGATTTGTACAATACCTCCCTGAGGGTATCAACAGTGCCTAACCTTCTGGTTAAAAACCAACCTCCCTAACCTAAGATGATGCCAAGGTCAAAGAAGACGATGGTGTTAGCATGAATAGCTTGTTGATGACTAACTCACAAACAATATGCTACGTACTCATCTGCCACTAACAAGCTACACACTCGATTATGGCTAACACCTTGTTCAATTGCTACATGCTAAGCATCCCTTATTAACTGATACCTCCCCATGGGTATCTACAGCGCCCAACCTTCCTAACCTAACAACACAACAGCTCAATAATATGTTACAAAACTCTAGACTTTATTTAACGTTACACTGTTTTTTTGCTACAAACTCATTTAAAATGCTACATTTATCATTTAGTAATTAAAAAGCTTAATTAAACCCTGGATACAACAGGGACTTTCTTTTTTATATCAGTGTTATTTATCAGTTGATGGGTGATTCTCCGGTTCAGGAGTTAAGTTCATCAAAAGTTTCAGTCACTCAATCTAGGACCCAAACTTTCCCGGCAACTGAGGACACACAAGGGCGTCAGGCCTTCAATCACTGAACGGTTGATTATACTTTGAAGTAAAGTTTTTTTTGCCCACACTACTTCACCAATACCCATGGAGAATAGAGAGGGAATATAAATGTATTCTGTTTGTGGAAACATCACACCTGCTGTTTCCTCAGCAGCGTGGCTTCTGTATTAGTACTTCACATTATCAAAATAAACACGGGCAACTTTCCTCTGCTGCACTTTACTTTAAAGAGCGTTTACTTAATAAAATATTGGGTGTGATATAACTTAATGCTTTACTGAATTACCAGATGGGCTGTATTGTAAAAACACACGCTGTCAGCACTTCAATTTATTATGTTACACTTTAAGAATTTCTGTGCTCCTTTCCCCCGCAACATGTTGTAGTTAGTAAAACAAGTTATTTTTTAATTGTTTAAATACAAAATTTAAAGTCAGTATGTTCAAGTCACCTTGATTATTTTATTTTAACTGAAAATTAGGTGAAGAAAAGATGAAGAAGAAACAATTCAGACCTAATATAACGGGAAAGTGAAAAAGTCAGATCAAGTGTCAATATCAATAGCTACACTAGAGGCGCTATAATTTCTTTGATCAGATTTTCAATCCTCCAGAATGAAGAGTTTTAAAAATCTGATTAAAGTTTTCATTTTTAATTAGGAAACCTGTCAAAATATAGAAACTTTTTTTTTAAACCCAAACTGGAAGGAAAGTCAATGGAACCAGTGCTTGCAAACATTTGTTAACTTAAACGTAGCCTGTGTAATGATATTTTTTTAGTTTAGAGCGTTTTGACTCACTGTTGTTTATCTTTTTTTTCTTGTATCAGATTATTTGTCCTGAATCAACTATCCTTGGTCCTGGTCCAACATGGTCTTTTATACCTGATTAAATTCAGACAAACTTCTCACTCAAGTTTGGAGAGCATAAATGTTCAGAACAGTGAAGTGACACAGACAAGAATGAATTTTTCAAAGTTATTTTCCTCTGAACAAAACACCCTGTAAACACACACAGACAATTGTTTGATTCCAACAGCCCTGCTGTCCAGGTCAGTAAGTACTGAGGCTTTTGAAATCTCCGCCTCAACAGTTCACTATGATGAACAGTATTACAATCATAAAAGGGTTATGATGCTGTCAGAGTGCAGTGCCGAGAATAAACCCTGCTGAGAGAAGTCTGTCCAGGTCTGAGCACAATTCAGAAATAAACACTTCAGCGGACCTGAGAAGAGCTGGAGGGACGGCCGTGCTGTGGGTCCTCGCTATGTACCAGGATGTACCAGGGAATTTGAAATCTGGTGAGTACCAGGGATGTTTAAGGTAAAATGTTTTATCCAGTAACAAATCAACAACAACAACAAAAAAAAATATTTCAAGGTAAAGACCTTATCTTTTCTATTGCACAAATTTGTAGCACAAGAGGGAAAAAAATGGAAGTACTTTAGCTAGCAGGGACTCCTTAGATACACGAGTCAAAGGTTCTAAGACTTGCTTTCCTCTTTCACTGATAAAAGAAATCGCCCAGCTCAAAAAATACGGCAAAATCAGACATTTTTTTTTACGTGTATATTCCGACTGATGCCACACGCTCAGTGCTCGCCGCCTGATTTTTGGTTGTTTTTGATGGTACGACAACAGGGAGAATTTTTGGTTAAACATTTGGTTTGTGAACAGAATTGTTCAAAAATGGAGATCATGATCATGTTGCTTCATTGGGATTAATCGTGACAACAGAAAAAACTGAAAGACAGATAGATCTCCGTGCTTAGATACAGACATTACGCAATGATGGAAAAATGTCGAGAAAAATACAAGTTAGAATTTAGCGTTGCAAGGTGAACAATGCCACAAAAACACCCTAGTGGGTAAGTGAGTCATTGCAGCTGCAGCCTTCTCAGGTACCGACAGTAGAAATCGTCTCCTTTTTAACAGGGCTTCAGTGACATTTGCTCAGGTCAGCCTCAGTTTTAAATTTACAGGCGTTAACTGAGATCCAGCAGACGTGTGTAATGAAGAACTAAACCAAGTGCCAGGTTTAATGTGCTGCTCTTACATTAAGCCTTCTCCTCAATGTATTTCACTCTTCTTCCAAGTTCTTTCATGTCTCTTCCTTGCAGCGACATTCTCATAACAGCTGAGAAATGTGATTAGGCTGCAGAATGGAGGATAACATTTAGAAAGCGTGAAATGTCAGCATGTGGCGTTGTGATCCTCGACTCGGCGGTATTGATCAACGGCACTGTTAGCTGCCTTGCAGATGGATGGTGGTCATTTAGCGCTCCGGGGGCCACTAAAAACCATGGTTATTGCTTTTTAAAATGCGTCCCTCTGCTGCCTGCGATCGGGAGCAGAGAGGTTGACAGCGAAAGAAGAAGGTTTCACAGAGAATCACTGTGACTGACAGGGAGGAAGGCCAGGGTGAGTTACGGGTGAGAGGCTGGAGGTTAGCAGATACGCATTTGAAGATAGACTACGACCTGGAGTGTCAGGGATAATCACTGACTTTTTTCCTCCCTCTGTGTTGAACCTTTAGAGTGACAAATTATAGCACAGGGTCTCTCTTCAGTAATATATTCAGCAATTTATCATCCCCATTCAGACTCATTCACAGTGATCAAGTGTCCACCTGCTAAACACTAATAATTGTTGTCTAAAGTGCCGCACGTCATTCTGCACCAAGTGTTTGTGAAAGACAGGAATCGCGCACAAACCACATCACAGCCAGCAGCAGGTTTTCTTTGACAAGGGCAGCGGTCTATAATTTACTGACGCCGCTCCCTGAGCCAACCCCTGACCCACACCTTGAAGAGCATCCTTCTCACAAAAAGAAAAAAATAACATAAAATCACAAGTGATAATCAACTGCTTATACCTTCAAATGCCACGTTTGAGAGGTGTGACAACCGCCACAGTTTCGCTGTAATACAAGCTGTCAGGTGGTTTTTTTGTTCCCGCGGAGGGATTTGCCGCGGTGAGCTTTCATTTAAAGGGCGTCACACTGACGAACAGAATTAATTGAGGTTGTTTTCTTCAGCGAGAGGGGCGCTCAAAGAGCACCACAGTGAGCCATAAACGTTGATTGAAACAATGGCAGCGCAGAGAGGCTGGCATTTCACGAAGCAGACAAATTTGTTGAAATATGCCTCGGACGATTTGTGCTGAAGTGTTTGTCTTTAAGTGAGGAGACCGCACTCTGTTAGTTATATATCTGTTACTTTTATGTCCAGTGTGACGTTTACTTTCAACCTCACTGACTTCTGACAAGCCGGGACATTCAGACACAGCACTGGCCTTTCTAAATATTTATTTATATTCTGGCTGCGCACTTCATCGTGTGTGTGAAGACTCATCATAAACAGAACAAAGTCGGTTGGTTGTCTGTGTTGCATGGCGACTAAAAAAAGGAGGATTCAGCCGAAACAGATGTAAAACACCACAGAAGAGCAAAGACATCAAGTGGACAACAGGAGTCTCTTAGGAGTCATGTATAACTTTGAAACGTTTTACATGTTTACATGTGTCTGGATTTCTTTGTCAAGCATCAAGCTCAGATATTGATTTTATTTTTCAACCCTAAAAAATTAGTAATTTAAAGAAAACATCAGATTTTAACCAAACCAAAACTTAATTTGAGGGTTAATTTGAGCTCTAATTTTTCAAAGAAAGAAGGCACTGAGCTAGAACATTGGAATGGTCATAACAAGACAGTAACTATTGTCATCGTACACGTCCAACGTCATACCAGTTTAGGCTAGATTGGTTAAACTGCAGTAACACTGGGAAGCCCTTAAAAACAAAGTTAATGAAGTCTCTAAGCTGACATTTGTTTGTTCATGTCATGGTCACACTGTAAACAGGTCAACTGGTTGTCATAGCAATGGTCTCCAGTAAAGGGTGGAAAAAAAAAAATCAGCAAAGGCTCAAATCGACCAAACAAATAAGAACATGTACTGCAGTATATGGATTATATATACATTTGTTTTACTGCACGTTAATGCAGTGTCTGAACAAACCAGCCACAGCAAGGACACTGTAAAGTGTCTATTTTATTCTACAACACAGCAGTGGTGTTAAGAATTCACATTTATCATTTGCTTTTATGTATTTAAAGTCATTGTTTCAGTGCAATTGTTTCACAGAGATACAAATAAACATGGTAATTGATGGTAAAATTCACATTACCTACTACAAGGGGCAGTGGTGGCCTGGTTGTAGGTTCAAATCCACAAGTCAACTTGTCCCTACACACAGCTCCCTGGGTGCCTAGCTTGAGCTGCTGCCTGCTCACTAAGGTAGAGGACAAATTTCATTGGTGAGCTGTGCATCGACGACAATAATTCACTTCACTTTCACTTCGTCCTCCTGACAGGACATAAGCATGAACTCAGACGTGGACATGAGGCACAATGAACACACAGCTTGAAACACAGAACTACAGTGGACAATGAACCAAAGAGGACTGAATGGAGGAAGGAGGTATTTCTACCCAGGGCACCAGGTGACATGAGTCAGACTAATCAACCAGAAACACACAGGACACAGGTGAGAGTGATAATCCTAATTAACACGGAGGCCCAGGCAAGAGGGAAGGGAGTAAGATCTTCCAAAACAATATACTGTCAACATTGAACAGTAATCGAGCACTTAGATACATGCAGCCGAGGGAAATCATCAAATATTAAAGCAGTATAATGTCAGTTATAATAGTAATATTAATACTATAATACCATATTTATAACATCAAAACAGAAACATATAACCAGTAATGATATTATATTATAATATAGCACTCAGGGGTATGTGCACTGGGATGAGAAATAGAAACATATACAGTATATATACAACCTACACATTGTAAAATAAATAATAAATACCAAGTAAAAAAAAAAATCTTTCATTTTTTTAAGCAGCGAGCTCCTACAAATATAACTGGGTTACTTACTTAGGGCCGATAGCTGGAGGCGAAATAAAAATCTGGCCGTAACCTGTTTGGCTCACCTTCAAATGGTGTGTCAAGTAGGAGCTCTACACAGAGTTACAGCACACCAAATAGGCCCGCCTGGTTCAAAGTGCTGTTCTTCACACCGTGGTCTGCACTCCCTTCTCCACACTGTCATATATATTTTTCCAAGGCATTCAGTGAGATGGCCTCACACTGTTTATGAGCAGCAGCACTGGGTGTAGAAGACCAGGATTTATCCTCTCAGAAACGCCGCTGGTATTTCATGTACTAAGCTTTTGATGGTTTTCACAGGCTCATAGTATATATATATATGTATATGTGTGTGCATATGTATGTATGCATATACTGTATGTATATATGGACACACACACACACATATATATATATACATGTGTGTGCGTGCGTGTGACACAGAAAAACTTTTGAAAAGTTTTAAATGTCTCTGTATGTCCTGTGCAGCAGAGGAGACTTTACAAAAGCCTCTCAGACTTATTCCCCAGACCTCTGGCATAAAGGAGGCTTGGCCGGATTGCACTGTCTCTGTGAATTGCATCTCAGAGCAGTTTTGCGGAGAGCAATACCTTGCACACACCAAATCAAATCAGGCCTGTCAAATTGATGCTGCTGGATTCCGGGCCAGTCCCTGGGCTCACTTTGTCAGCTCCTCCCTCCTCACCCTCCTCACCCTCCTCACCCTCCTCACCCTCCTCACCCTCCTCTGCAGCACTGCCTGCTGGAAGCACTGTCATTGAGACACACAGTCAATACATAGGAAAATTCTGTACTCTGCTAAGTGAGCCTGCTGGAGCATACCAATCATTGTTGTGGTGAATGTCATGGCTATGAGTTACTTCAGTTGTTTTTTGTCAAAGATTTAAAAAGGTATCAGTAATTTGTTTTTTCTTTCTTTTTTCCTTGACAAATAATGTCTTAAATTCAGCAGTTACTGTCCATATGAATGAACATTTCCTACCAAACATCAGCACATCCTGCCAATAATAATGACTTCCGTCTGGACAGCATCATTGTAAAATTTAAATCTTTATTATCATTCCAACTTAGTTTCAAGGTCACATTCTACCTAGCTAACAAGAATCCCTGTGTCAGGAGAAAAAAGGAACAGCACTCTGTGAACGTATTGATTCATGACAGAACAAACAGCAGATGGGCTCTGTGACTTCCTGCTCTCTGAAGGCTTCATCGAACAGGCAGAGGCGTTCGCACAATATTCAGAAAAATATTCGGCTTGTTTTGTTACAGTCTCAACATTAGTGTTTTTATTTCTTTGTGTAGAAATTCTCTGTGTGAATAGAGGTGTGAAAGGTTGTCTGCATCCAAGTCTGGTGAAGCTAGGATTGGTTGCAGCTCATCCACCAGCTCAATCAAGGTGAGGTGATAGGAAATAAAAAAACAGAACAGAACAGTAACTTGACTGGTTAACCCGGGGTAGGATCATGACAGCGGTGTGATAATGAAGATATTGACCACGCAGTAATGAAGCAGATAACTCACATGTCAGGGGACAAAGACGCTTTCAGCATTTCCACACTAATTTATGCATCCAAATATAAATAAACAGGCATGTGTTGCTCAAAGCCAAATAACTACTCAATATTCATTCGGTTAGTCTCTCTCTCTCCCTCTCTCTCAGCCTATTTACATTCTTGCCTGCATTAATAAAGGAAAACAAGCTCAGAACAACTAAAAAATTCAGTTTACCATTTTGCCTCCTTTAAAGCTGAGGGATTCTGCTTCTCCATGTGGAGAAATAAAGATTTCTAAGGTGCAAACGATCTTTTACAATTCCCCAGAGATGGCAGACAGTGCCATTAGGATTATATAAAATGAAATATAATGCTAAATTAAGCTTCATTTAAAAATGGAACCAAAGTGAATCTGAAGTGGGAGGGTTATGACAACTAATTCCTATCGATTTCCTGGGTCATAACTGCAGAGATTGTGCAGACGTGAGAGAGTGGGCAGAAAGGATTGTCATTTGTCCTGGGTGAGGCCCATCATACTGTTGCTCATCATACAGTATGTTGTCAGGACGACAGTCTGTGTCTCCAGTGCTGTAGGTGAGGTTCAAGGACTGGTTCTTCTCCTCGTCAGGAGCTATAAAATCATGATTGATTTGCTATTCTTGGTAACTTCGTCAACCTTCATCATCATCAATTAGCTTCATCATCAGGGGTGACAGGGTAGATGCCACCCACATTAGAAGGCTCTGGAGTAAAGCAATCTAAATGATTAACTAAGATGGCAAATTATGGAGCAGATATCAAGCCTAATTGCAAAAAGTTTTTTTAAAAAAGAAAAGAAAAGCAGTTAGTTAAGAAAATAAATGGTTAATAATAACAACATTTAGAATCACAATACAAATCAATACAAGTATAGTACTGTCAGCTTTTTGTGCTGTTTGCCAGTTTTCCCATACTCGTCATTCTCAACATTGGTACACAAAACTTTATACACTGTGTATCTGTAATAATGTTTTTCTCCCAAGTACCACAAGATCCAAAACAACAGGCTGTTCATACATATGTTTATTTTCTAAACGTTACTGACCACACGCTGAAGAAACGGCCTACACTGTGGAACCACTGCACCGCCTGGGAATCGAACCCAGGTCGCAAGAATGGGAGTCTTGCATGATACCACTACACCAGCGGCGCACATGAGCAAGCTTCCTTGCATCTGGAAAAACATTTTAACTTCTCTGAAGAGAGGGGGAGCTAAAGTGCCTCCAGTGGTACACGGGCCACAGTTTGAGAAAGACTCTGTTGACTCTAATACAAGATATCATATATATAAGAATCATTCTTAGCCTTTAATAGTGGGGACCAAACAACATTTTGGATTCCAGTTGCAGGGCAGATTGGACAGTTCAGCGGGCAGGATTCTCCCGTGGGCCACCAGTTGACGATTACTAGTCTACAGGTTTTTCCCCACAAGTATTTTTACTCCTTAATTCAAATGTATTCACCTTTGCTGCTGATCAGAGAGAAGATGAAAGGGCCCTAGCTGTACTGCGTGAACACACAACCTGCGTGATTTTATTTTTTAGGTTTTATGTTAATGTTACGTTCCACATGTGGATTTTTTTGTTTTTCCTCGATATCCTCCCAAATGATCCCAAATGGATCTGAAGTGGAGTTTTGTTTTGCATTCAAACCACCGCTGATCTGTGAACTACCAGCCATCACTTCAACCAAAAACAACCAAAATGGTGAAACGAAGCAGTGGTTTGACGACTGGACCTCAGTCCTGGAGAGTGTTTGGGCTTTAAGCAGTGATCAGTAAGCTATTGGGATGTGGTGGGTGATTAGTTTTAATGGTGCAAGTTCCAGCCCCGCAGACATGTCCAATTAAACCTATAAGAGTGGCTGGTTTTTCCCTAAGTTGCCTTTATTGCTGTGCAGGAACTGAACAGAAAGAGTCTGCGCTGAAAGATCTGCTCTAATGAAAAGCTCTATGGCACACGATGATGATTCTGTGGTGATACTACGGGTAAAGCATTGGGTATACACTCCTGGGTTTTGATTTATTCACACACTGCGCAGTGAAGCTCACAGCAGGACAGCGCAGTTGAAGACGTTAAATGAATCTCTGGTGTTGGACAGTAGCGTAGATCTTTAGGTGCAGAGGATGGAGGGAGGGTTTTAAGCATGAACAACAGGGTCAAGGAATCCCGACTGAGGCAAATCTCAAAAGAATAAAATAACAGCTCCTGAAAGTGGAAATTGATTGTGTATTGATTGTAGAACAAAAAAAAATCCATCAAAACAACAGAACGAGGCAAAGTGCAAATAGTGCCAAAGCAGAGCAGAAATGAAGAAGGTGGGAAGGAAAACCACAGGATTAGCTGGAATGAAGCTCAGTGCATTTGTAAATAAATGATAACCTGGGCCGGGAAACGGATGGATGTTCCTGTGTAGTCATAAACACCAGTCGTTTGATTGATTTTGTCCTTGTTTTGGTTATGTGAGTTTACTGCAGTGTGCAGGAGTGAACAGCTGCCACTGCCTTTACTGAGCTCCATTCAGAGATACAGCCTGGTACATGATCAAGGCAATGGTCCCCTGATCCTAGGTCAGTTTTTGCTCAATATGCAATTTCCTTCAAGGACCAAATGGCCACTGTGGCCACAAACAGCTGCCCAATAAACCAAACAATGAATTAGTGTAAATGCTCATAGACAATTAAACCAAATACCTCTGTCTGGGGGTATCTTTGGGTCATTAAAGACAAATGAAGAGCAGAGAGCAAAAAGTCAAAAGGTTTTTTGTTAGAGCCAAGTCTTTTCAATGATTTTGTGTATGAACTTCTACACAGTCATCCATTTCCTCGGCTGTACTGTGGATCTGTGATTCTGATTACAGTGTTCCATTATAACCTTACACTCTTTGTGACATTTCTGGGTAAAATATAAAAAACAGGAATGAACTGAAACTTTTGCAAACTTCTTTATTTATAGTTTTTGAGTGGTGATCTTGACACACAGTTTTACCTCAGTACTGAAAGCCCCGTTTGCACGTCTCTAAATAAATACACCAGTTATTACTGACAGGAGCTGTGTTTCCACGTAACCAGGAGCAACCTCTGGACCCAGAACACTATTTCACACTGCGGCTGCTATTTTTATATGACACCACAGTGAATCACATTTTAACAATACTATAAACCTGCATGCGATCATGTTATAGATTGGGCAGTAATTGTGCTAATGCCATTCATTGGTCTGTAGTCTACCTCTGTGTATCCACAGTGACCTTCAACTTCTGGGACTCTGCGCTGATGACACTCTGATACCAATAAAAGCAGCTTTGAATAAATGTGTGTAATAACCAGACGATGTGAACGATATCGACCGCCCTGACTTCCATTTACAGTTGGTGTACTGTACAGCCCCACGGAGACGCTGAAACTCAGTTTACCCGGAGATTTACCCTCAGTCTTTTATGAGCTCTGTTTGTGAGACTTTCTGGAAAAGAAAGAAAAGCTGATTCTGAATATGCAAATCCAGAGAGTCGCACATCAGATGTGGATACACACAATGCAGGCGCTTGAGTTCCCTCACCTTTTCCGCTTGTTTAAATTATGATGTGTTGGCTCCTGATGTGCTCCGCAGACTGCTATCAGGTTGGCAGGGTCAGGCCTGAGTGTATTTAACTTTCTTTTCGTAAACGTCTGTGAACGTCTCCACATTGTTTATCACAGGGGTTCGGTGTGTGTGCATTGCAGAGGCTGCTGCTGCTGCAGTTCCATTAGAAGGTTAGAAGTGAGGCTGCCACCCACATGTGTGAGAGATGAATTAACAGCCAACATGTTGGCTGAAGCCCATATCTGCGTCATTTGATCTGCTTTTGTTGTTATTGCTGTGTGAACCATCTTCTACTGTGGAACTGTTTCTCGGTGCTCGTCTGCAGGACCTCTACCTTTGTGTCACTCGTTTTCTTTGTATTCAGCGTCCGTCTGTAGGTTACAGCCTCGTGCAGATGAGTCTGTGTGATGTCCTCTCACTTTAAGTGGGCAGAAATGTGGGAGATATATTATATATTCATTAAAGCGTCTGAGTGCAGGATGAGACGCTGATTTCGACACTTGAAAGGCAATTTTTTTCAAGCCAAAGCCCCTTGTGTCCAGCGTTTGCATTTAAGAAGTATATGAAAAAAAAACGTCGACACAGGCATCAAGAACC